CATTTTTCTTATGCAAGAAAAAGTAACATATATTCCTTGCTACTTTGAAATTTATGCATTATCCTAAACAAATAAACTAGTACTATGAACGAGAATTTAGGAAATATTTTCAGGAATTTTCTAGTCTTGGTCTATAAGGCATTTTCAGACAATCAGCTATATAGATGTTCAAGGAATACTTTGGAACTTGCCAATCGTTATTACTGTAGAACTTTTTTCTGAAAGAGTGAAATCTTTATCTTCAGGAAGAGAGCTCTATTTCTGTTGCACAACCGCTGAAATTTGACTCACAGAATTGGACATTGTACCAAATAGAGAAAAAAAAATATCAAAATTTGTATGCTTTTATTTCACTCTCCAGCAGTGTCAGAAGGGGAATAGCTGCATAAATATCTTTTAACAAAATCAGTTATTAAGGAATTCAATGTTAATTTATGTTGATGTGTAATTTATTATTACTGTTGTGTAGACAATGTAAAGGAAAAAGCTTCAGCTGCTCTAAGAGCCGCATTACATTTAGTAATATTCTTTAAAACAGTGACATCTTTGTTTTAGGTTTGGACTGCTCTAAGAAATAGCAGAGACCCTGTGCTTGTTTGAGGACGGAAACACTTCTTTCAAATATCTTTTGAAGCATGCAAAGCCTAAGCAGAGTATAATTTCAGAACAGATTGGTATTTTATGGAAAATTGAGCTTTTTTTTTATTAAGAAGCACTGACTAGATTAGTGTGGTGTTTGAATAATGCAGGTATTTTTTAAAAAGCAACTGGATCAATTAGTGACATGGTCACAATGGGCTACATAAGGTCGCTACAATAAGGAGCAAATTCACTTCCAAAATGAACTGTAATGTTACTGTTTTGCCTATCTGCATATTCAAAAGCATGGCATATCTGCTGATACTCATCCACCAATATGCCAATGCTCCTGTTGCTAACCTGTCTGGATTGGCAAATTTCTGTGTAAGAAAAAAAAAATGAAGCATTAAAAGGGCAACTCCCAGAAACCTGTAGGATGACATTCCAAACATTGTGGATAATATGTAGATTCCTCCAAAAATCTTCAAAAGAAGACCAGCCTAAAGCTCGGATAAATTCCACAGTAAATTTGACCTAAAGAAATCTTGGCACAGGCTTCTGTACAATAAAAATATGGTTGTTCTCTCATTTACCCTGTGCTAACAAATGAACATGAGTACTCACTTAACATTAATCAAATGTTCATTTTACTGTTCATTAAGAAAGATCTGTATTTGGAGGTGGCCAAACATGCACTGATTGGCTTGATCTAATATTATAATTTGGTTTTTTTCTTATTCCTATTTTTAGGGTTATACATATTTATACTTTTTCATGTAAAAGATTTTTGAAGCTGATTTTGTATTTTGTTTGTAACAAGTGCTGTTAGTATATGTTATTACTGCATCCTGTAAGTTGGCCAAAGGCATCAATCTAGTTGGCAGCATATACATTTTCTAAATATATACATAGATAACTCTAACCTACAAAAGCATAAGTTGCAATACATATGTTATCCTTCAAGATATAATAACATACATAATTATTTTAACTGTAACAGGCTATCATCTTTAAAAGATTTAAAGAGAGCTTTGAATCTGAAGAGTTTTTGTCCAAGAAATTGGGGAGACTTGTGGAAAGAAAAGAAAAATGTTTTTGTAAAGGAACATTGAGGTACAATTTGATATTTTCTGTCAGTTTCTATCCAAGCCTGCCATCACCACATTATATTATCAGCCTCCAGCTAATACCAACAACTAGTAGAAGTTATTGTCTAAAAAAATTAATAATCAGTTGTGGCAGAGGGCTAACTATACATAATCTGAATATACTGTATAAACTATACATAATCTGAATTTTAGTTTAAGGACTTCCAAAACTGCTTTTCAAAATGTAAAAACTAATTGAGAATTTTCTCCAAGATCTAAACAGTTATAGGGAGATTAATTTAAAAAAATGAGAGGCCCAAGCAGCTAAGCTGCAGAAATAAAACAACAACAGGCTTCTTAGGAATTTGGCATCAACTGGGGCTTGAAGATAGTTTGTAACAGCAGTCCCAAACAAAACAAACAGATCCAGAACTGTATAAAAACAGAGGCAACAGTCGCCAGACTACATTTAATTAGCAAAGGGACACTTCATATCAAAATACACAACAGAACAAAAAAAAACATTGAGATGTGCAAGGTTCAACTAGATGTTATTTATACTATATCTCATCCTTCCATTTAAAGAGTTAATGATAGATATAATAAAGGCAAAGTTAAAACACGGTAAAATTGGAACAAGTGAAAACGTAAATATCTGAGTTTATTAAGCCTACAAAAAGACTTTGTTTGTTTGTTTGTTTGTTTGCATTAATGTAAAACATTTCAGTGGTAAGCTCCCATAGGAAGAAAGGACCATATTTGTAGTTAATATTCCTTTCACTTCCAAAGGGATAGAGATCAATGGAAAAATCTTTGAGGAATATCTTAATCTTTAGACAGATTTGTGTGAGTAAATTTTGTCTTTAGAAATCCTTTTCTGTCAGCTAAATTTAAATGGATTGTTGTTGTGGGGAAAATATGAGGAAGAAGGTATGCTGGATATGATCACTGTCTTGAATTATTTGCAAATCTATTAAAGCTGGGTACAAAATAAAAAAATAAATAATTCCATTTGCATAGGCCAGTCATTTAAATTTCTTTCCATTATTGCCTCTACATTTTCTGGATAAATTTTACATTTGTTAATGGTTCTTTCATAACAATCTTGGGTTCTAGGACTAAAAACTGAAGTTTTTCTCATTTTGTGTGTTGGCAATATAGGCTTCTAAACTATCTGTTGTATCAGCTTTTTTCTAAATATGCAGCAACATAGAGAATAAATCGGAGGTTTAAAAACTATGTTACCCTTGATCCTGGTTTAGATAACTGTGTAATATGGGATAACTCATAGTCTCAAGCCTTCTGACTCGTAAGGTATGTGACAACATAAGAAATAACTGAATAATACTGTTACAGAACTCAAGACATCGTGGAGATGCTCATTTTAATCATATAAGGTCTCTGTGCTTAAAAATAAGACAATTTGCTCAAACTCACCAGAAAACAGGTTTGCTTCAGTAAGGATCTGCCTTACTGAAATACTTTAGTCACTTTTTGTTGGTGGAGATAAAAATTAACCAAATTTCTTTTTCTTTGTATATGAAGCTAATTAGATCAAACTACTAATATAATGGTCTGGGTGACAATACAGCATAAAGTTTCAAATAAGTCTATAGTCTTGATGGAAAGAAAAGCCTCAAGCTAAATTATCCACAATAGGACCTTTTCCAGAGTTCCCTAATTGTCTTAAACTTTTGATACAAATTCAGGTTCAATGTGGATCCAGCTGATCTTAGGGTTTTGTGTCTTTTTGCTAAACTGTTATGCTACTGTTTAGAAGATTCAGTAAGGAGGGGGTATAATTAAATTACTATTAAATTATTAATTAAGTAGGAGAACTACTATTGTCTTTCTCTAGCTAGAACTCTTGCTGCTATTAGCTGAAAACAAAGAATGGAAGGAAGGCTAAATAAAAAAGAAGATTCCAGAGAAGGCTAAAAGACAGGGAGGAAAAACAGTCCAATTTTCTGTGGCCAAAAGAAAAGAAAAGCATCCAACATTTGGCCAGAAATGTATGCAGCAGCTAAAAGGAAACATGCAATTTAAAACACATGTCTTGACATAAGAATCCTTACTTGCATTGCCAGCTGTCATGTAATAAAGAGGCCTCTTGGTCTTCTAAAGTGGTGTTTTTCAGCCTCAGCAACTTTTAAGGTGTGGACTTCAACTCCCAGAATTCTCTGCCAATAAGCTGGAGTCCACAACTACCAAATAGCTTTTAGCAGAGCTAGGCACAACAACAGGCTGGCATAGTGCCGTTCACTTTACGAAAACTTTGAACAATATCTAGATGAAACATTAACACAAAAACTAATTTTCTTTTATTTCTATAAGTATCTGGACTTCATCCCTTTTGTGAAAATAACATTGGCCACTTCTGAATATCTGTATCATTATACTCACTTGAAGAGACCATTTGAAGAGACAGCACTTTAAAACAGTGGGGTAAAGCACTTTCAGGCCATTGTAGAAACAAACACCCCAGTAAAGTTCTGAATGTATGCACATGACCGTAACCTGCTGATTTGTTATCCTGTGCTGCTTCTTGAGGAATCAAAAAGCAAAAATAATAAACCCCTAATTCAGGTTAATGGGGCAGGACAGACAGTCTAGAATACGTGCATACAAAAACAGGTGAAAAAACATCTGTACAAATTTTTGCTAATTAAAAGAGTTTTCCTTATTTTCCCAAAGGAGGCCCATTTTCAAACCACTTCCTACAACAGACAAGCTTTGTTCCAAGGAGTACACTTAAGAAAGGCTCTTTTAAGCTAGCTAGCCAGACCGTGTTGGGCTCTTGCACATAAGGCGAGGAAATGAACAATGCGATCCCTGCATCCAACTGTTCAGTATAAGCAACTGGCAGTTTTAATAAAATAATTTCACTCTTAGATTCCATCAGGAACAACTAATTCTATGGCTTAGAGGAACAGTGGGCTGTGTGATCCTCTGTAATGTTTCCTCTCTCTTTAGATTTTTGGAAGCATAGAAAGGGGACCTGCATATGCATGAATGAAAAACTTGCCTTATTTTTTTTTTGTGTGTGTAATAAATTCATAATAATAGAAAAGAAGCAATGCTTCATCACACGTGCAAGCTACTCAGTCCAGTGAGAGGGGATTGCAGTTCTCAGAGAGCTCAGCTAACAATCTGCATGTCCTTGTGTAAGTTAAAAGAAAATGCAGAGTGAAAGAGAATTTGAGAAAAGGGGCGTTGGTCCTATCTGAATGCTTCTTCTCGGGGAGCCGAAGGGAGAATCCAGGATGGGTAGTCTCTAGTCTCATAGCTCTGCAGACCGAGTTGAAAAACTGATGACACGCCCCCTGGTGACAGTCCCCAGTTCTGAACAACGTCGAAGCGAATCCAGCTGCTCCTCATCCTCTAACAGATAGCCTATTTGATACTGCAAGAAAAAAACATTTCCTCCCTACTCCAACCAGACAGAATACAGGGTGGGACTGGATTCTCCCTTCGGCTCCCCGAGAAGAAGCGTTCAGGTAGGACCAACGCCCATTCTCCACTGAGCCGAAGGGAGAATCCAGGATGGGACATACCAAAGCTGGCTGATGGCTGTCCTATGGGAGGGAACTGGATTGGTCAGAGGTCCCCACTTCTACATGAACACCCTGCAGGACTCGTCTTCCAAAGGACACCTCTGCTGAGGCAAAGGAGTCAATTTTATAATGTCTTATGAATGGGGTCACAGATGACCAAATCGCAGCTCTACAAAAGTCCAGAACCGAAGCCTGCATTGCCCAGGCTGCAGTGGTCGCTGCAGTGGTCGCTGCACTCCTGGTTGAGTGCGCAGTGATTCTCCTGGGCACAGGAAGAGACAGTAACTCATAGGCCTTCGCAATACAGGCTCTAAGCCAGCGACCCACGGTAGATGGTGTCACCCTGCGACCCAAAGTTGACGGCTGAAAGGAAACGAACAGGGCTTCAGTCCTCCTAAAAGAGGAGGTTCTTTTGATGTATATACAGAGGGCCCTTCTAAGGTCCAAGGTGTCCCATTTTCTCTCCAGTGCATGGGTAGGCCCTGGACAGAAGTCAGGCAAAATCAACTCCTGTGAGCGATGGAATAAGGAGTTCACCCTGAGCAGAAAGGTAGGGTCCAACTGCAGAACCACCCTGTCTGCATGGAATACACACAGATCCTTCCTGATGGATAAGGCCGTCAACTCCGAGATACGCCTGGCTGAAATAATGGCCACTAAGAATGACACCTTGCACGTGAGTAGGCAAAGACTGACTTCACGCAAGAGTTCCAATGGGGGAGAAGTCAGTGCCTGCAGGACCCTAGGCAAATCCCAGGTGGGGAAACAGTGGACCACTGGTGGCTTCAAATTAGTGGCTCCCCTAAGGAAGGCTTACACCCTGGGGAGTTGGGCCAGAGTGGTTGAGTCCTTGACAGAAAAAAACCGAGGCCAAGGCAGCCACCTGTCTCTTCAAGGTACTGGGGGCAAGACCTCTGTCCAACCCGTCCTGCAGGAACTCTAACACATTTGCCACAGACGTAGCAGTAGGTTCCAATAGGTGACTGGCACACCAGCCACAGAAAATCCTCCACGATGCGTCGTATATCCTGGTCGTGGAAGGTCTTCTGGCCGCCTGGATGGTCTGAATGACCTTTCTGGAAAACTACTCCTGTTTCAGGAGCACCCGCTCAAGCGCCAGTCAACCGAAACCAGGCTGGATCCGGGTGCTCAATTGGGCCCTGGCTGAGGGAGATCCTGTGCAGGGGAATTTTCCAGGGTCTGGCAACCGACTGGCCCACCAGATAGGTGAACCATGGGCGCCTGGGCCAGTAAGGGGCTACCAACAGAACCTCCGCCCTCTCTGTCAGTACCTTTCTGATTGTTCCCGGAATCAGGGGAAGGGGAGAAGGCATAGAATAGCCCTTGGGGCCATCTGCACTGGAGAGCATTGACCCCTTCTGCTCCCGGTGCTGGGAACCGTGCAAAGAACCTCGGGAGCTGCGAGTTCTCTGGAGATGCAAAGAAATCCAAAATCGGATGGCTGAACCGT